CACACACACACACACACACACACACCGGGGTCATTTTGTAGAAAAAGAGGTGCAGGAGCTCATTAGCACAACTCATTAGCATAACTTATTTGCATATGCCACACACCCTGACATTACCGGAAGTGTGTCAGAAGGCAACACCCACCGCTCAGGCTCCACTGGACTGTTTTGGATTGCTAGCTATGGGGAGGGATGTACAGATCTTCCCTCACAGAGGAGGGAGAGCTTGTACCTGAATAAAACTTGGTCTTAAAGGTGCCACTGGACTCTTTTGGACCGTGGGGCCGGTGGGGGGGGCTCTGCAACTTACCTGGCTGCTTCTTGCTCTGACTGAGGGCTGCTGGGAGCAGAAGGTGGGGCTTGTTGCATGTGCCCACCCCCGGGGCTCTTTACTCTCTCTCTCTCTCATCATCATCATCATCTATCATCTGCCTGTCTATCTATCTAAAGCGACTGGGTGGGATAGCCATACACAAACAAATAAGAAGAAAATACATAAAGGGGCTGTTCAGCAAGAAAGAACACAGAAGGGAAAATCCTGTATGTGAGGGAGGGAAGAGGGTGAGCCATAGCAAGAAACTGCAAGAGCTGCTTTTTTCAGGTTCCCAGCCACATGGAGAGACCCCCCGTGTACAGATACTTGACTACATATAGACTGTCTTCATTCACTCCAGTGAATGTCCACAGGTTGGGGAGAAGCTTACAGCAGTGGTCCCACTTAGAATAATTACTCCCTTAGAATGACCAAAAATTACTCTTGTTGCCCTTGTTCTTCTTGCCGTGTCACCACAGCACTTCTTCTTTGATTGTCACAGACATTACGTTCCTCATTTGGCTTGATTTGAAGCTTGTCCATTTTCCCCATCCAATTCAGTGCAACTCCACCTCCATGCTCCTACCCTCAAAAGACAGGAGCTAATGTTCCTGGCTTCTTATGATACTGAAAATTATGCAATTAGGAGGCCACAGCCAAAATTAGCACCCTGTTTCAGAATCCTCCAGTCTGTCTTTGTGCAACAGTTACTTAGGATATAATGGTGAAACAGTTGCATTCTTTTTGACTAATCTGTGGGTAATCCACAATCTCATAAACAACACAATGAGTAACATAATTTGCATTTTCTCTGTGAAGATTATTTCGCCTTCTCTGTTGCAGCTGAGGCAGATGATAATCTCCCACCGAAGAGGCACGGAAGCAGGACCATCTAGCTCTTATCTATATATCTATTGCAGTTTCCTTCCACTGTTCCTCCAAGGAGCTCAGAACAGAGGACATGGAGCTCTCTTTCTCCATTCTGCCTTCACAACAACTCTGTGAGACAGTTCTGCTGAGAGAGTTATTGACCCCAGGTCGCTCATTTTGTTTCATGGATGTGTCAGGATTTGAACCTCTGTCTTCTAGGTCTTTGCCAGTTTGGTGTAGTGGACTCTAATCTGGGAGAACCGGTGTAACAGGCCAGATTAACCCCCCGGCCAGAGTAACCCCAGGGTTACTCTGGCCTAGCCTAGAGTAACCCCGGGTTAATCTGGCTAGCTGTAACAGGCCAGATTCACCCCCCGGGCAGAGAAACCCCGGGGTTACTCTGGCCTAGGCTAGAATAACCCCCCATTCACCCCCCGGCCAGAGAAACCCCGGGGTTACTCTGGCCTAGGCTAGAATAACCCCCCAGGCCAGATTAACCCCCCAGGCCTGCTTTCTGGGGCTGCTGTCTTTTCCTACTAAGAGAGATACTTCCCCAATAACCAGAGAGAACCACCTTCTGTTGCCAGAGGCGCTGCCTTTTACTCTTGGGAAGCTCCAATACCGAGGGCACCCCACTTATAACCTGACCCAGAGACCCACAGGACTCAGGCAAAAGAAGGCACCCAAGTCCCATGATGATTATCCTAGTGACTCTGCAAATGACAGCCTGAAGCAGAAGACACTCAAAAGACCACGTGAGGGACCAGACAATGATGACATCAACATCTCACAGAGACGCCAGCAGATGAAGACTTTCAACCCACTACCAAGTTCTGTAAGAAAGTATCTTAGCACCACTCTTGGCCTTTCATTTGTAAAGGTTGTGTACTGTGGACGCACAAGGGAGCTTGGGCATCCACGGCGTACATATAAAACCAAAGGTGATGGGAACTGCTACTTCCGGGCCATCAGCTACATCCTGACAGGATCAGAGGACAACCACTCCCTTCTTAGAAATAAAGTCATCCACCACATGAACACTGACTTGCCAGAGAAACTACAGGACTACTTGAACCGGAATGATAGTGAATATGTGAG